AGATTTCGTTTTGGAAATCTGCAATCGATCCATGCTAGAACAATATAAAAATAAAATTATCCTAAAATACGTTCAAAAGAACCTAATATGCCAGTAGTCGACCACTTCTTCCCTCGTGTCGACCAGTATAAGTCCAGTGGTCGATCGGTATTTCTTCAGCCCTGCAGTCAGTTTATTTTTTATCATTTGTATTTAAGTTCGTGTAAATTCGTCAAGAGAAAAATTATAATTTTTCAGTAAATTGATTTATAAAAATCAATTAAAAATTCATGTTTTAATTTTTTATTTTGTCCTGACAATGACTTATGGTCATTAAATAAATAATTACTTTATTCCGCAAATTTTTTACAAAATTAGGAGAAGAAGGAACACATAATTCTTGAACTGCACTTCCTCGTAACTAAGTCCTATGAATTCCGTACACTTTAGGTGGTACCATCTTGTGCACACATCACAGCCGATATTCTTCATTTCATCTTCTTCGACATCGCTAATAAGCTCTTCATTACATTTAGAGCATTTTATGGCTTTTCTGGATTTTTTGTTAATTCCTCCCTTTTTTTTCTCTGCCCTCACAGCCCTTTTTTCCATTTTCTATTCTCTTCTTCCTTTTTCTTGTTTTCTTTATTTTTTAAATATTTTCTATATGCTACTGATGACAGAGCTGAAGGTAACTTTTCTCTATTTTTTCTGTTTGTACAAATAGGTGCATTCCAATATAAGTGACTTTCAAAGTTGGTCAAATTTTGTAAAGGCATTGGCTGATTCGAAGTTTCAGGCTGATTATTATCGTTAATTTTATTGATGTTCGAATTTTCTTTGATATCTTGAGGAAGAATCGGATTCGGTTCTGATTGTGGAGTCATTTTATTAGCAACNGATGGACATTTAAGCAACAGTAACTTATGAAAAAATGAAACCAGATGGTATATACGACGGTTACACATATTCAGCCACCCAAGATCGATCAGCCTGTGTGAGACATGACACCCTCGTCGAAGCCCGAAAATCATTCGGAGACATGAATTCTGAACACGCTGAATCCTTTGTGATGTTTTTAAGTTCAGACAACTATGATATACTGTATCACAAAAGTTAAAATGACTCAGCACTAAGGAATCGCAAAGCATAACCTTTGTGCTGCGATTTAATATATTCCTCATGCTGTATATGAGCTTCAAAGCAGCAAATGAGATTTTTGTTTTGTTCAGGATGTGCTTTTCGAACCTAAGTTTAGAGTCGAGCTGTAATCCTAAATTTCTAGCACACTCCTTAACACCAATACATTCACCACCAATGTTGATTTTAAAATTTTCTGCAATAGAGTCTCGTGCACTCCGCCTCCCAAAGAGCATAACCACTGATTTATTTGAATTTACCCGTAACGAGTGTTTAGTGGAGTTTTCAGTTTTCTCCAACTTCCGGTTATACCGGATATGGACCCCAACTTCGTTACTTTAAATGAAATGTACCAATTTTTATTGAATTTTCGAGATCCCCGCTAAATTTTAATATAATTTGATGTCATCATATATCTAGAATTAAGAAATAAGTCTTTTTGAATTATTTCAGTTTGAATTTTTTTTATTGTACGCTTATTACATGTCTATATCTAAAATGTATGGCTTACGTAGGAACTTGAAAAAAAAGATATTTTCTTGATTATTAGTAAATTTAAATTATTGATTTGTGATATCAAACAAAAGCTATTGTGTGCTAGAATGTTAGGAGACTTTGTGATTAACATCAAAACGAAGGAGTTTGCTACTTTTGAAGATACAGCCCATGGGTGAGGCCCGCAATCAAAAATTCTCCTTAAAGCCCGATCTCCACACATTTTGTAACTTTCATAATAGAATAAAACTTATAACAGCAGAAGAGAAATTAAGGTACTATATTAAACAATATAAATGAAAAATTAAAAAACAAGAATGAAAAATTGATATAACTGTAGTAAATGTTCGAACTGGTTGCCCTCAACTTCCAAACATTTATAAATTCTTTTTAAAAACCTGGCATAAGTGGCACTCCGAATTTCTTCCGAAGAAAGTGATGCATTTCATCACGAAGTCTTTGTAATCGGTGTAGCATACACGATATCTTTTATACAACCCCAAATAAAAAATCTAATGGAGTGATATCGGGGGAACGGGGAGGTCAACGGGAACGATTTTTAACATTTTCAAAAATATGTTTATTATACCACTTAACTAAGAGACATAGAATTTTTTTCTTATAATATTATTTATACACTTCCAAATGAAAAATTTGCATAAGAATTCTGCTAAAACTTTACCATGGACGGAAGTTACAGCAAGCGATATGAAGAAGTTTCTTGGGTTATTGATATTGATGTGGGACAAACTGAAAAGGCTTGTTGGAGAGATTACTGGTCAACAGACCCTTTGGTTGAAGCACCAATATTCCCTAAAACTATGAGCAGGATGAGGTTCAAGCAAATCTTTATGTTTTTTCATCTCAATGATAATCTACAAAACGCATCTAGTAGAAACAGACTTTGTAAAATTACACCTTTACTGCATTACCTTATTCCAAAAATTCAGTCTATGTTTGTATGTATGTACCAAAACAGCAATTATCACTTGACGAAGCAATGATACCATGGATAGGACGTCTCAGCATCAAAACATACGGTATTTTACTGAGAATGGTTTGTGAAAGTGAGTCTGGGTACATTTGCAACTTTCTGATTTATGCGGGTGGAGAACAAAAACTACAAGAAACTACATTATCAGTCTTGTAGCCGTATTTTGGTTATGGGCATCATGTATATCAAGACAATTACTACAACGTTTCTACAGCTGGTATATTATTAGAAAAGAAAATACTTGTATGTGGTACCATACGAGGGAACCGTGGTTTGCGATAGGTACTACTAGAAAAGTCCAAGAATCGTCATAAAGGGCAAATGGGTTTTGTACAGAAAAGACCCTGATATGAACTATTCATGATGCGTTTATGATATCAACTGAAAAGCGGAATAAAAATTATACCAATGATGAAGTGAAACCTTTGTGCATATTACAGTACAATAAACACATCAAAGTAGTTGACCGTGCAGATCAGTATTTGGCGAATAAAATAGCATTCTTTTTAATCAATTGTATTTTGTTTAATGAATTCAAAATTTACTCTAAAAAGTCACAAAATAAACTAAGCAGTGATGTAAAATTACGGTAATTTATAATTTGTGTAAATTACTGTTGTAAATTATGGTTATTTTTTCTCAAAATTTATTATCGCGTAATTTAATAATTTTTTTGATAAATTCCTACGGTAACCTTTTTATTATTTTGATTCAAGGACAATAGAATCTAACTTGATTTTGATTTAATAAAACCTTTATACAAACTGCAAAGGAACATTTAAAATAAACTATGTAACAAAAACTCTAAAAATGAAACAAAATATGAATTCTATATAATTCAAACACATTCTATATAATTCAGAAAAGCTTCTTTCTGTTGTGCACATTGTTGGTGAGCAATTTAAGATTTCTGTTGCTACTTTGCTTAATAATGTAGTACAACAAAGAGACTTCCACAATATAACAGAATACTACCCATAATTTTTGGATCTAGTAAATTTGCAGCTAAGTGTAAAGGTGTTACAGCCATATCTTTTCGTGCTTTTAAAAGTGATAGAATTGTTTTTACTTCTAAACTGGGCATTCACTTTGTAGCTGATCATTCAAATGTTGAAAATAGTCAACAACATGAGAACTGCAAGGTAGGGAAGTTTGTACATTTTTTTAAATTATTGAAATGGGATTTAAAATCTTATATTCAAGCTGTCCCTAGAATATATCGTTTAAAATATTACGTTTAATATTTTCGTCTAGAATACTTGTTATAGTTTCTGTTATAACCAACTCTTTTAAGTTTCTTGTAGGGGCTTTACAGCATTATCAAAACATCGAGAGCGCATGCGCAGACACATCCTAGCTCCTAGCGGTAATTTATGAAAAATTTGTTTGGTAATTTACAGCAAATTACGGTAAATATTTTGGTAATTTACACATTCACATCACTGAAACTAAGATACAAAAAATTTCTGCTAGAAGTAGCTAGCAAATGGATTTTTGTAGATTCAAATGAATGCAGCACACCACCTGGCAGTTCTTCTCGTACTTCTAAAAGGGCTCCCTATAAAGATCTACCTTCCAGACTTTCAGGAAAACTAGGCGTTGTGTACCATTACACGCAGGTGATAGCCATACCGTTTATCATACCAAAAAAAAAATTAAAATTTATATAAAAACTATGTCCAAAGTTTTACTTCATTCCATTCAGTATAAATAAAATTTATTGGAGTTTATTTAAAACGATTTACTTTATAATCATTACAAAAAAAAATAGCCGGCGACATGATAGTTTCTGTGTAAAGTTGCCGGTCAGCAAAGTGTTAAGAATTGAAAATTATTATTGAAAATTACTGAATCGAGGATATTATGTTCAGGAATGAAATTTGAATGTATGAATTTGAAATAAATCTTACTATTTCAAGTACAAACATTGTCCAAACTTTATCTCAAGTTTTGGATGCAAAATGATGAATATTATGTGAGAAAAGGATCAAATGGCGAGTATTTCAAAACCCAAAGCTATATTCCAGAATATAACAAACATAAAGTTAAGGTTAAATCGTGAGTTCTCTTCCCTGAAATTTCAAGTTTATGAACTGTTTTGGCAGAGGTCTGAGCGACTCCACAAAATAACCAAAAATTTTGTGACCAAACTCAATCTTGTTCTGTGGTCATACAAAACTTGATTCAGCCAGGAACTCTAATTTCAACTCAACAAAGTATGAAATACAAACATGACACTATGTGAGATACTCACATAACTAATGAAAATCACTGATTAAGTCTAATTTAAGAAAAATTTTTGTGAATTCAATCAAAAACTTCTAATTCTACTGTTTAAAAACTATTAAAGTTAATTATTTAGGTATATCCCCAAAAGAAAAAGAAGACTAAATTTATTAAAATTGTTTTTATTATTTCAAATCTTTTAATTTTACTTTCGACGCAGGAGCATTTGGGTTAGTACCTTTATAAAACTCCTTTAATAACCCCATAGCATCCTCACCTCGATAACCCCCTTTAACAATAGTGACAGGTTTCATAACAGCCCCAACATCAAACACGGTAGAACCCCCAAACCGATCGTTTTTACATCCAAACACAACTTTACAAACTTTATGTTGAAATAATGCTGCAGCACACATAATACATGGTTCAACTGTAACGTACACACACATTTTCCTGATTACTTCATGAAAATTTAACTGGTTATCTTTAGAGTATTTGAATGTATCGTCGATGCAATTTATTTCAGCGTGTCTTGTAGCATTTCTGGTTTCATTTACTGTATTACGACCGGAAGCTATGATTTGGTTGTTGTACACGAAAATACAACCAACTGGAACTTCTTGGTTGTCCAAAGCTTCTTGGGCGTAATTAAACGCTAAATCCATGAAATGTTTTTCTTCATTTGATAATTGGGAATCATTTTGAGATTCCATTTAAATTTTAAATGATTTGAGGTTATGTTAAAATTGAGGTTATGTTAAACGTCAGATTAATATGTGATGTTTTTATTGTTACTTATTCTTAAATATTAATTTTGTACTGTAAATTCATACTAAGGGTTAATAACGTTAATAATAATTTTATATAAATTAATAAATAAATTAATGTAGCAAATAAAAAAGAAATATTTAATTTATTTTATGGTTGTCAACACTGCTCAAGAGTTGTTTTGACGTTTCAATTTTGAGGTTAATTAATCTCGGCCACGTATTTAAAAAGGTTTTAATTATTAATAAATAAAAACTCACCCTTATAAATAAAAAATGGATGGGCATTTATTAGTAAGTTACGTTGTATCGTTATGAAATAATTTTTTTAAAAATTATATGTTTAGGAACCGACTTTGTATACTGTAAAAGGTATTGCAATCCTCGATAATGATGGGAACCGGATTTTAGCGAAATACTACGATAAAAACGTTTTTCCAACAGCAAAAGAGCAACGGGCGTTCGAGAAGAACCTCTTTAACAAAACCCATAGGGCTAATGCTGAAATAATAATGTTGGATGGGTTAACATGTGTGTATCGAAGCAATGTCGATTTATTCTTTTATGTTATGGGTAGTTCCCATGAAAATGAGGTAAAAGAAAATATTCTCTTTGTTATAATGGTACAATATACATTTATTTTAGTTAATACTTATGAGTGTTTTAAATTGTTTATATGATTCTGTGAGTCAAATTTTACGAAAAAATGTTGAGAAACGTGCTGTGTTGGAATCATTAGATATTGTTATGCTTGCTATGGATGAAATTTGCGATGGAGGGTAAGTTAAACCAAATTAAATAGTTATATTTATATTAATATGGTTATTTCTAGAATAATAATCGACGCAGATGCGAGCTCAGTTGTATCAAGAGTTGCTTTGCGTACAGATGACATTCCATTAGGAGAGCAAACGGTGGCTCAGGTAACAAACGCAATTCATTCCCTGTTTTGGTGAATACAAAACTCTAGACGTAAACAATCTAGAATACAAACCTTTGTAAATAAATTTTTAAGGAAAAAACAAAACTATAAACAAAGAAAGAAAACTAATGTGATAATTGTATTGAGTATTACAGCACATTGCTTTGTTGCAGGTGCTACAATCTGCTAAAGAACAATTGAAGTGGTCGCTTTTAAAGTAAGGTTAAATAATTTTTTTTTTTCTATGAGTTTGTATTTGTTTATATTTTAATGAGGTTCAAAATGAACATTGAATACAGCGCTTATAAGTTAATATTAAATAAATATAAGTTAAAAAATACAAAAATAAATTTATAGAATAATGTTTTTTGTGTTTATATTCAAAATTAAATCCCGAACGTCTTCAAACACCAGTTTGATGTTATTTGTATCAGTTGCGATTGTGAAGTGTGTATAAAATGGGCGGCTTTCTGTTTTCACATGTCCACTAACTCCAGGGAGAACGTATTTGACTTCATCTGTGTTTCTAGTCTTCTTGGTGATATTCTAAAAAGTTTTTATTTTAGCGAATTTAATCGTTTTTTGTTTATATGTATATTTACTTACCACGATTTGTTCGTGAATAAAATATTTCGCTCTTTCATATTCATTATTTGGTTTTCCATATTTAGACGAAATTTGATAGTTTCGAAACTCGGGAAAATAATTTTCTAATTTCTTTCCATCTTCAATTTTTTTCTTTAAAATATCCTGTTTGTTGAAGAACACGATTATTCCAGCATCGCAAACGTATCTAAAATATTGATTGCATGTTAAAATTGTTAATAAATTTCTTCATTTAATAAGTATTGTAAAGAATTATAATTTTTATATTTTATATCCTTTTATATTTTTGCTTAATAACTATTGATTTCGTTTTTGCACATTTTATTTAAATATATTATCGAAAATCATCATTGACATGTTTAAGGAGGAGAGAAAGAATTTAGACTTACCACGAGTCACTCTCTAAAAATATGTTTGTTTTAGAGAAGCAATTTTAAACGAATAATTTTGTTTGATTTTTTTTGTTTTCGATTTTTGTTTCGTTATTGTGAGAAGGGTTCTCTGTATCATTTCTCCCCTACTTTAGTTTAGTGCGGAACGTTTTCAGTGGTCCGAGTTTGTTTCAACCAATGGAAACAATTGTTTAAGTTAATAGTGTTCGAAGCGAAAAGTTTAAAATCTCAGACAGAAGAAACGAACAGATTTTTTTGGAGTTCGGTTAGGAGTTGAGCTCTTAACGGATTTTGGCAAAGAGTTAGTTTCAGACAGGGAGTCCGCAATAGAGTATGGCCGTCAGTTCCAGACAGAGAGTCCGCCAGGAGTTCTAGACAGAGAATCCGATAGGAGTTCCAGACAGTGAGTCCGTATTACAGCACGGTGGTCAGTTCCAGCCAGAAAGTCCGGCAGGAGTTACAGACAGAAAGTCCGTAACAAAACCCGGCAGTCAGCTCTAGATAGAAAGTCCGGCAGGAGTTCCAGACAGACAGTCCATAACAGAGTATGGCAGTCAGTTCCAGACAGGGAGTCCAGCCGTCAGTTTCAGACAGAGAGCCCAGCAGGAGGTCTAGACAGAGAGTCTGGAAGTCAGTTTCATATTGAGAGTCTGTAACAGAGTACGGCAGTCAGTTCCAGGCAGTGTCTGTAACAGAGAACGGCAATCAGTTCCAGACATAGTGTCCGCAATAGAGTCCGGCAGAAGTTGCAGACAGAGAGTCCGGCAGTCAGTTTCAGACAGAGAGTCCATAACATAGCCCGGCAGGAATTACAGACAAAAAGTCTGTAACAAAGTCTGACAGGAGTTCCAGACAGAGAGTCCGTAACAGAGTCCGGCAGGAATTACAGACAGAAAGTCCGTAATAGAGCCCAGCAGTCAACTCCAGATAGAAAGTCCGTAACAAAGCCCGGCAAGAGTTCCCGACAGATAGTCCGTAACAGAGTATGGCAGTTAGTTGCAGACAGAGTCCGGCAGTTAGTTTCAGACAGAGGATCCGTAACAGAATACGGCAGTCATGTTCAAACAGAGAGTCCGTAACAGAGCCCGGCAGGAGTTACAGACAGAAAATTTGTAACAGAACCCGGCAGTCAGTTCCAGATAGAAAGTCCGTAACAAAGTCCGGCAGGAGTTCCGGACAGAGAGTCCGTAACAGAGTACGGCAGTCAGTTCCAGACATAGAGTCCGACAGTCAGTTCCAGACAGAGAGTCCGTAACAGAGTACGGCAGTCAGTTTCAGACATAGAGTCCGGCAATCAGGTTCAGCCAGAGAATCCGTAACAGAGTTTGGCAGGAGTTCTAGACAGAGAGTCTTTAACAAAGCCCGGCAGGAGTTCCAAACAGAGAGTCAATTTCAGACAGCGAGTCCGTAACAGAGCCCAGCAGGAGTTCCAAATAGGGAGACCGTAACAGAATCCGTCAGTCAGTTCCAGACAGAGAGTCCGTAATAGAGTCCGGCAGTCAGTTCTAGACAGAGTTCGGCACTAGTTACAGACACAAAGTCCGTAACAGTGCCCGGCAGTCAATTCCAGATATAAAACCCGGCAGGAGTTACAGACAGAGAGTCCGTAACAGAATACGGTAGTCAGTTCCAGACAGAGAGTCCGGTATTCAGTTTCAAGCAGAAAGTCCGTAAAAGAGTCCGGCAGAAGTTCCAGACAGTCCATAACAGAGTCCGACAGAGCAGTTCCACAGAGAGAGAGAGTGTGCGGCAGAAAATTCGAGAGTCAGTTCGTGATAGAGATGAATAGTTCGAGTTCCATAGTTCGAGAAGCTGAGAGTTAGCAGTGAGTTTTGAGTGGGAATTCGGTCAAGAGTCAGAGCCAGGTAGAGAGTTTCCAAGAGCAGAGATGAATTCAGAAAAGGAGTTTGGCGGAATGAGTAGTTTCCAAGGAGTCAATTCGTAGTCTACCCCAGTCCAGTTAAGAAGACAGTTGAAAACCAAAAAAGAAAAATAAAGTTGAATAGTGACATCTTCGGTCAAGAGAAGCACGTTGCAAATAATGAGATTTGAAAGTCTTTGTAAGTAATTTTATGAACAGTTGTACTAATAGCTTACGTTCTATTTGTTTGATATGTTTTGTTTGTGTTAATGTGATATTATTGACAATTAAATTAATGATTAATATTTAATATTATTTTTGTTATTCTCTATTTTTTTTTGCCAAATTTAATTTATTTTAGTTTCTTCTTCTTCCTCTCTCTCTCTAAATCATTGGGTTTATTGTTACTGCTAAGGTCTGCTTTTAAAATATTTCCTAAGAAGTTGACTGCTAGTTAATTCACCATTTCTTTCGTGGTCTGGTTTCGGGCAAGTTATTTATAAGAAGAATTTTCGGCAGAATGTTATCTGAAGTTCTATGGACGTGATTGTGCCAAAATTCTTGCAGCGTCTTCCCATCTCACAATAACTTGAACTTCGTATTGATTAATTCTGTCCCATTTGGTCTTTCCTAAGATTGTCCTCAGGGCCTTCATTTCTGCTACTCTTAACATGATCTTAGTTTTGTTTGTGTCCTCTCATATTTCAATGTCGTAGCTCTGGTGACTGTATATGACTATATAGCTGATGCGGGGCTTGTATATCCGCGTTATAGGCTACCAATTTACATATTGTTGGCTCCCTTGCTACCACCCTGCATTTATTTTTTGAAGTAGAGCCGTGTTCAGGGCTTCGCTCGTTTTAAAGAACCTTTTTTAATTGTCTTTGCAGGCTAACCTCTGAATTAGCGATTATTGCAGCATATCTTTTGACCATTTCTTTTGATCCATTTTATACCCTACGTTTATAGTCATCACCTCTATTATTTTACCCATTAATAAGATAAACAAAAATGACCAGAGTCTACCGCCTTGTTGGATGTCACGTTGTGTGGGGAGACGTCTTCGGTTAGTTCTTGCATGGATGTTAATTTTCCTCTTTCCTATGGCTTCCACGTTCGGTTCCCTCTCAGGTTTGGTGTTCTTTAATTTAGTTTTTATTCTGTTTTCGTACAGATGCTTTGTGATTTCGAATATCAATGGTTCTAGGTTATATTTTCCAATGAATCAGGGTTGTTCTAATAAGATCTTGCGTAGATCAAGGTTATGATCCGTTCATTATCAAGGATATGGATAATCAATTGTTATTCCTTCAGAAGCGCAACATATAGCGGAGAAAAATCAGAAAAACTGTTAATCAATAGTATTAGGCCAGAATTTTCAGGCGTGATGTTGTTTTGATTGTGGGTGTCAAGGATAATGTAAATCATCTTGAACTTCACCTGAATAGCACTCAACATCAGCTCTGACAGCCCACAGGACCATCTCAAACATTTCTCAATGTTTACATCGTAAAAGTAGAGCGGATAATACGGTAATGTTTTTGATCAGTGTCTATTAACCATTATATCTCTGTGGGTTTATCACAATGCTCACTTATATAATTGTAGTCTGGTGATCCAATACTTTACAGACATTTGCTTACGTGAATCTTACAGAGATTATTGTTAATGTGAAGTAATTTCGAAAATAATCGATCGGTTTGATCCAAAATGTTTTTGATTATTCTTTGAAATCACCATTTAAGAGAATAAAATAAATTCCCACTTACAATGGGCCTCAGCTTAATTAGTCAAACAATAGGATACCAGACAAGAACGGCAACCATATTTAATGGGCGGTAATCTCAGTAAGGACGCCAATCATTAGAGTCTTTCTTTGGAACCATATGAAGTGGGAAAGCTTTGCAGATTTTTTTTGGCTATCGCAAATTTTGAGGGATCTAAACGTCGCGACGAGAACGATAAAATGGTAGATGAGAATTTGTTATTATACGATGTTTAACGTTATACAAGACAGGCAATGAAAAGGATAACAACAACCAAAAAACATTAAAGGGAGACGAGAAAAGTTTTAGTGTGTCAATCAAAAACTAAAAAGGGGAAAAGATTGTCAGGAATTTTGTATTTCAGGACAAAATGGATGTTCTATTGCGTAAACTTCAATCATTTAGAATAGAGAAGCATTTATAGAGTAAACTTTACGATATTTAGAGTAAATTGTTGCCTATCACATCTATTATCTAAATTGCTGCTTAAGATTCTTTACTGTAATGTACATCGGTTCCACTAGCTAGCCACTATGTTTTTTACTGATGGGTCAATTGTGAATTCAGGTCGTGATATTTCTGTGCGTTTGCAGAGATTCACCTTGGTTTTCTGCTAACATGGTTTTTAATGTTTTGACCTATCTTGACCAGTCCTCTGGGCCTGGTCCAGATGGCATTCCATCTTCCTTTTTAAAGGAATTTGATACCGAACTGTCGACACCACTGTTTCTTATTTTTTCAAAGTCCTTACTTGAAGGTAAGGACAATTGAAGGTAAATATAAATGTATCCTTTTTTGTAATCTTTTGAAAATCGAGGTATGTTTCCTTCTGAACGTTATAGCTTTCTATTTCTTTGACTGTCTCAATATCTCCAGGTTATCGCTAATTTACCTCCACTCCCAACCGATTATAGATTACATCCTAATAAAACATAATTTTTTTGTAGGTTGATACTTCAGACCACTTTAAGTCTGAAGTCTCCAGTTACTATTAATACCATTTGTGTTCCTCGTGGTTATGATAAATTCCGTTAATTTGATATTTGTAGCCCCATTAAAAAATTCCAAAACTGTTAACGTTCGATCTCAAGAGGGAAGTAAGTATTGGCATCAAACTTGGAAAAGTAGTTTTTGGTAGACAGTCTTATTTGTTCATATTGTACTATAAATAAATGTTTTTCGTTTAATTCTTTTTAGTTTTCTTCATCTACATAGAAGTAAACTCTAATTTCAGACAAAAATGTTTATTTTTTTTTAAATATTTCTGTTATCTGTTCGAGAGTTTATTGTTGTTATCAACCATTAATGCTACACCTTATCCAATGATCTTTAAGCTTTAATATGACTTATAAATCATTTCATTATAAGTACTTAAAAATAAAGAGGAAATGTTTCGTAAAATTTCCTCCTTTTTTGACCTATTAGATATGAAATTATTAAGCATTATCTTAAAATAGAATCTTTAATCCCGAATTTAAGATACAAATCGTTTCATAATCTATTTTTTTGATATAATCTAAGTAGACAATTGTTTCCTGCTTTCATTACACTCTTAAAACAGAGAAGTGATTGACTTTTTTAACATTATCTTGTCAAAATCTTCATAATTTTTTAATCAAAATATTTTTATTTATTTCAATTTAGAAAAACATTTATTACCTCGACCAATATATTTGTTCAAAAGTAGTAAAAGCTTCCTCTAAGCGATTCTTATTCTCATCTTCTCTTAAAGTTTGATCAAAATCACTGCTGGCTATTAAAAATAAAATTGCTCGAATTCCTTCGAAAACCTACAAATAAATCTTTTATTATTTAAAAGAAATTGTATAAATTGTTATTACCGATATCCATTTTCTTCTATGTCCTCTTTGCCCACCAACATCAAACATGGAAAAATTCGCTTGACCCCCTCCCCATTGTCGTGGTACTTGCATAGTAAAATCTATATGAGTGATGGAAACAGTTTCTTTTCGACAGTATAATATATCTTGGATATCAGGAATATAATCCTTTTTTCTAATTGTATCCAATTTATCTAAAAAACTATTTCAATGTGCACGTTTTAAATGTATCAATAAAAATATTTAAGAATTACATGTACTTACTGTTTGGCGCTATCAATTAATTGATACTCATTCGAACGAGAATATGCTGCTTGAATAGTTTCATTTAACCATAATTTCTTTACATGATCACAATATTCCTAAAAATATTAACAAAATTTAAATTTTAATTATTGAAAACTTGTTAAGAGAAAAGTGTAACTCATTTTAAACGAATTTTTATGTTTAGAATTAATGAAAGGTGAAATCTTTTGAGTATCTAATTAAACAAAAAAAAGGTATTATAATTGGATAAATATGAGATAAAAGATTATTAATTAAAATCTTATCTTATAATCATTAAAAATTTATATTTCGTAAAAATCCAAATTAAAAATCTAATCGAATTTTACGATAATTCTAATGGCAATTGCCAAAAAATGTTATCAAGGAATTTAGGATAATTACATAATCTAGAAAATTATGGTAACATATATCTCACAATTTAAACAAATAGTAAAATGTTAGAGAAATGAGAAAAACTAAAATTTCTATATATTTTTTTGTATACATTGAACTTCATACAATATATCTTCAGTTTTGCAATAGTTAAGAGTTGAGTTACTCGAGAACTAAATCATAAATATAATTGTATGCGAGTACAACACTACGATTTCAATGATTAATAATCATTGAAATCATGCAGATCAAAACCCAAGAAAATATTCTGTTCTAACGAAAATAACAATACTATTAAAATATAATAGAGCAACTACTCAAGGAATCTTTATGCTTAACTCCTTTAATATTGAAAATTACCACCTCGATAAGTACCCGTCAAAAACGATCTTGCACGTGCCACCAGTACACTTAGGTCAAACGAAACGGTCTCAAACGCTATCCTCAAGTGCAAGGAAAAAATGGTGTATAGCCTGCGGAAGTTACGCTTCGCCTAAAAGTGACTATCAACTTTTAATGTTAAAGAATTGAGATAAACACCATCTGTGTCCCTAAAGCCTCGCTGATCTAAACAAATCCGAAGCTTAGCGATGTGACATGTAAGCAGGCGATGGAACAGCCTGAGGAGGTAGAGGTGAAGGTAACCTTTCGACAACAGACTCGTCTGGTTCTGTTTGAAGCGATCAAACGTTGTTTACGGTTCTTAAAAACAATTAGTAGTGTAAGGTTTTATTTGAATAAAAAAACAAAACGAAAAGCCCACTTGTCCTTAATTAGTTTATTTTATTATAACTATTATGATTTCCACTTTAATGGGCATTTAATCGCTTATACTACAACTTATCTTCTCTGCGTCTTCGTCTTGACAAAACCTAAACTCAGAAAATATCGTAACTGAATTTACCTTCTGCTCACAAAAGAAACCAGAGAGGCCGTGTTCATTAACTGCTACAGATATTAAATAGTACATTGGAGAATTTCTGAACATGTCATTAGTGCAAATACCAAATGCACGATAATATTGGAGTGATGAACTGGGATTGCAGCCGATATAAAACATCATGTCTGTAAATAAAGTCGAAAGTCCGCCAATTTCCTTACATCAACAATAATAACAATCGTGTTCCTCAAAACCACAAACCAAAACAGACTCCTTAAAATTACTTCACTGAGTAACAAATTTTTATCTGTAGTTTTAGAACAACATTTGAGAATCAACGAATAAATACGTTCAATTAGATGAGACATTACATGAAACAGTACTTTCCCAAAAAAAATCAATAAATAGGGTTTCAAGCTATTTGTCCTTGCAGGTATATACTCAAGCCAGAAAAAATCTGAACTTCGGCCTATACAAGCACCAGATTTGGGAGTTGCATCAAACGTAGTTCTGAAATTGGCTCGTATAATACCAAAAAACAAATTTATCGCTTATATCACGGTAATTATTATCCATTACCCCTTACTACCCCTTAATTGCAAATTGCCTACGGATTTTGGGATAAAAAAAGCATAAAGAGATGAAAGTACTGAATTTGTAGCAAATGTTAAAGGGGATAATGCATCTTTCGTGGTGTGGAAGGACAATGAGTGTATAACTATACCGTCAACTTGTCGGACAACATCCTGTGTCCAATGCTCAATTGTAAACAACCAGGTGAGTGGAGTGGATCGTATGGACAGCCATACAAAATATTAATGAAAAGTCGAAAATGGTACATTAAAATGTTTTAACACCTTGTAGATTTGTTATATAAATATATGGATACTCTACAGAAAAGTAAAGACCATAAGAAAGGGTAACATGCAGTATAACACTTGCAGAATACTCAGAAAAGAGGAAGACCGGAAGTCTGGAGACACAAATAAAACAAAAAAGAAAAGAGGTCCAACCTAGCATGAACCTCCTAAAGACGTTAGAAAGGATTAGTATTTTCATTGACTTTCAGTGGAAGACAAAAAAATGTGATGTAAATATCCTAGTTGTAAGGGATTCACACATACATATTGTGTTGATTTTAGTTAAAATTAAAAAATCATACATTTAAGGGATAATGTAGTTTGGACATACATTACAAAAGAGGTCCTTTTGAAGATTCCTGTCCTAAAAATTGGTGCTTATAAAGTTATAACAAGTTTCAATGATATTACACAGGGAAATACAAGTTATTAAAACACCAATTATTACCTATAGATGGAAAGAAATAAACCCTTTTTATTGAAACAGTTGTTTTTTATTGCTCACCAAAAAAACTGTTGTACGAATGGTACTCAATGAAAACGGACAACAATTAATAGACTTCTGCTTCAAAAAGCAACTAATGAGAAATATCCATCGCAAATACTAGCCGTAATAGCATTCACATCCATCAGCATAAGAATGGATCATAAAATCTTATTATTAATCATATTGCCGTAAATTAATTAGCAATATTAACTATGAACTGCATGCAGCTCAAAGAAAGGTTTGGAAAATGCTTCGAAATCGAAAGAAGCTATTTAACGATGTAGAGACAAGAACAATATATTAATCACAAGAACTATTATTCGGATAGAAGAAATCAAAGAAAAACTGAAAAACAGGAAATCTCCTGGAACTAACACCATGAACTTAATGAATTGCTTCATTATGGAGTAACAGAAAAACTGTTTTACTCAAAGTGTTGTGCCAGTCAAAAATATCAAATCTTACAAGTGTTATAAAAAGCAAAAGATCGCTCAATAACGGATACTAATTCCGTTATGAAACAACTTAAAGAAAAATCCATTGTGTTCAACACATTTACAAAGAGGTGCAACAGCTGACATCACAAACATAATATACATATTAAATACATACAACATAACTAATGTAAGGACCAGAGAAGAACTAATTATTAATGGACAAGATAATCGAGGCAGTGATAATATGGGATGCTGTCGACGCCATGACAATCGCCTACGCAGAGGATAACTTGCAATTACAACGACACAGATTCTATGAAGCGAGCGAAGTCCTGAACATTGCTGTCTGTACTTCAAAACTACCGCCTCATCGAACAAGTCATGGTATTTACCTACTTGTGTTTGAATATTTCAAAAACTCACGATCCCGCAAAGGAATTACGCAAATTATGTTTTGAAGATGTCAGGCAGATAACGTCCGTTTTCTGCAATGCACTGCTGTAGTCGATCTTCAAAGTTCCTCATCATCTTAACTTGTGCTGTGATAGCTTCTTTCAACTCTTTCAAATTTCTAGGTTTATCGATGTAGACTTTCGGCTTTAGGAGTCCCCATAAAAAATAATCAGGAGCCGTGAGTTCAGAGGAACAAGAGGGCAACGGCACATCACCGAAACGAGAGATTACTTGTCCAGGGAAAATACGACCCACAACTTGCGCAGCGGCTCTGGCTGTATGTGCTGTGGCACAAACATTTCTTATGTTAATTCTCCGTGGACGCAATTCATCGCTCGGACGTTACAGTTACAGTTGCTTTTTGTACTTCTTCGATGAAATAAGGTCCAATCAATCCAAGACGACTTATAAAACACCAAATGATGTGATGCCTTTCACGACGGTTTTCTGCTGCCCAATATCGGAAGTTCTGCTTGTTAACAGAATACTTCAAATGAAAACGAGCCTCATCGATCATTATTATTACTGGTTCGTCAACAAAAATTACGTTAGTCGTGAAACCTTAGCTAATTAATTAATTAATCAATTTAATTTATTTTCAGAACTTTAAATAATTTCACTTTTTCATTGTTAAATGGTAACATCTAAACTTTACTTTTTTATAACTAAACTTTTTTTCGTTTAAACAACAGCTGAGTTATTTTCATTTCAAAGACGCCCTTCTATTCTGCCTCACCCTGTACAAGACTTGCATCAGTCCAATAATGATTTACTGCATTGAAATAGGCGAAGACACAAGTAAACTAAGAGCGTGTTAAGAATAGCACAAATGAAGACTTTGAGAATAATCTTAGGAATGACCAAATGGGATAGAATTAAGACCTACGATATGCGGAATGCAGGACATTGTGAGATGGGAAGGCAACGCAAAAGATTTTGATACAACCACGTTCGTAGAATGCCAGATAACACACTGTCAAAAAAATGAGCTTATAAATAACCGTTCCAGAACCAGATCACCTTGCAGACCAAAGAGATGCAGACCAGACAGTCAACTTGTCAGGAAATACTTGAGGGGCAGAACTTATTTAATAACCACAGATCCAACGATCCAGTGAGAGAGAGAGAGAGAGGAAGAAGAAGAACCCAAAAACTTGTATTAATATATACGTTTAGAATATAAATCTCAGTATATAAATCTCTACAAAAATACCCTTTACCCCAAAAAGGTAAAGATAGATTTTATATATTGTTGTGGTCGATCCGAAATTGCATCTGTTCTTCCTGTTGGAAAGAGGCAGACGTTTCGCCAATATCTCACCTACCATCTTCAGTGCATTGTCATAGTCTCCTGTCTGCCGACAAAATCGTGAAGAAAGTTTCGAATTATACAGGGTCTGGCAGTGAAACGGAAAGATTTCGTAAATAATTTTATTGTTAAAGAATATTTTTTGAAATATTTTTTAATGCATTAATGGAAAATAAGAGAGTAGCCATTTGGTTTACAATGTAAAAAAAAATATTTTTTGTATACTACATCCGCCAAATGTCTTCCGTTACAATTTATGCATTCTTGGAGTCGTGCCTGAATGTTTTGCATAACTCTGCAAGAAAGAAGTTGCAGGCGGTTAGGTCGGGAGACCGAGGGGGCCAACTGATATCCCCGTTTCAAAGCATTTACAGCATTCATTGAAATTCTTGCAGTGTGACTTGTTGCCCCGTCTTGTTGAAAAAGTGTGTGTTCATTCACTGGAAAGCCTTCAAGTTGTGGTGTGAGAAAATTCTGAATCATTGCAACGTGTCGTACAGAATTAACGGTAACGGCATTTTCAGCATTATTCTCAAAAAATATGGACCGATGGTTCCATTTGACGAAATCTCACCATTTTGAAAATAGGCTTTAACTGCGTAGCCACGATGCCTGCCCGTCCAACGCTCCATTGTGAACTAAATGACAAATCATGCAGGTCTTGGCAAATCGGCTACTTTATTCCCCATCACTTCGCGGCCCGCTGTAAACCCTACCTCAAATCTTTCCTTTTCACTGCCGGACCCTGTATATCTCGTATTATTTTATATTACACTGTTGGAAATAATTCACGAGCACACCCTATATAATCTGAACGCGTGAAGATAAATCCATAATATTTACGGAGCACAAAGCTTTACTGTAGACGAGTTTATTCAGCGAGTTTCGAGTTGTTCTGTCGCGGCATTGTTGACTGAGCCGCCCTTCCAAGTGGAACATTCCGTCGCTATGGACACCGAAGTGGATGGAAAATACCGGTCGTTTTTAGTGTGGTGTGAGGGACCACATTGTTATCGTACTCTGTGCGCAATGGATGAGCGATCGCGTTACTTAAGCGAGTTTGGGCGAGGAATGTTTGTGGGTATGTACATTGAGGGTGTATCGTTCCGTGAAATTGCGCGTCGTCTCGAGCGGTCGTTATCGGCAGTGCAACGGGCATGGCGAGAATGGTCTGAGGTAGGACATAGGTACCTACAGCCGCGGCCCTGCGCGACCGCAGCACACGAGGATCGCACTCTTGTGCTCAGCGCTTTAGCGTCGTGGGCGTCCTCCTCAAGGCAACTTGGAGCTGTTCGGCCACCGGCAGGGGAAGGCTCACTCACTACGCGAACTGTATGGCGGCGTTTGGTAGATAGTGGACTGCGCGCGCGTCGTGCGATACAGCGGATTCCAGTAACACCCGAGCACCGCAGCATACGTCACGAGTGGGTCAACGCTAGGCATTAGTGGGTTGCCGAGTAGAGGGACATTTTGTTTTCCGACTAATCAAGATTCGAATTGAGCACCGGTGATGCGCGAATTTTAGTTCGTCGGAGACGTGGTGATCGTCTACTCGAGCAGTGCGTGCAAGAATGCCCTATCCACCGACAACCGAGCATTATGGTATGGGGTGCTATTACACATGGTGGACGTACATGTCTGCTGCGTGTATAGCAGACCATGACGGGTCAACGATACGTAGATGAGGTGCTACGGTCCGTTGTGCTTCCCTACGTTCGACGGCGTCCAGGTCTCCTATACATGCACGACAACGTCCGAACGCACATCGGGCGTATTGTACAGACCTTTGTGGAAGAGCATCTTATACGAATGCTATGGAGGCGAGTTGAGGTGGCATAGTTGGCCATCCCTCTCGCTACAATACAGCGACTTATAGACTCCATGCCACGTCGTGTAGCGATGGTACGCGAAGCTCACGGGGGATACTCTCGCTATTGATGTTATATCTCCCAGCAGAGTTGTGCCGCTCTCCATGTGAGAGTAAGTTACACTACTTTAGTACTACTTCCATACCAAATTTTATTCCGCTAGACACACGCGTTCAGATTATACAGGGTGTACTCGTGAATTATTTCCAACAGTGTATGTTCTGGTATTTGGAAAGATAATGTTATTAGAGACTACAACAACGCACTGAAGATGCCAGGTGAGATCTTGGCGAAACGTCTGCCCCTTTCCAAAGGGAACCAACAGGAAGATCGGAAGAAATCTCGGATGGACCACAACAACACACGCACTTCTCTATCCGTGAAACACTACGCATTACCTACCATAGATTTTATGTGTGTATACGTTTATGTGAAACAGTACAATATTTTACATAAAAACAAATAGACGAAGTTATCTGGTTTTTATAACATTCTGGTGCGAACTCTTATCCTCAGAGTATCAACTAAATCTCGTTCCATCTTTTCCAATGCATTTATAAGATCAGATAAATCCTCACTCCATCACTACCATCGTCACTGAATGGTAGTTTTCGATTGGCAACGCCCACTTTAAAATTAGTATTTCTTTTATTTTTTGAGAACATCAATAAATATATTAATTACCACATTTTTCCTAAATATACAACTTAGTTTTTGGTATTCATATCAATTCAATGAAGCAAGTATCAAAATAAAATTTTAGGTATGTTTAAAATTCATATAAATAATTAATAGACGTAAAATTTATATACTTACATCTGTAAATGTTTCAGGTGTATTCGGCCCAATATTCAAAATAAACTCTTCAGATTTTTTCACATCCTCACTTTTAATTTCCAATGGCGGTTCAATCCGAATCAAATTATTCACAATAGAATAAATCGATTCGTGTATATTTTGCCAAATATCTGGAATTTTTTCCTTTTTCTCGCTACAAAATCATTGTTTTAATATTAATTTAATTCGAAATTAAAATAATAATTTACTCCTCGGAAAAACCGTTAATATGCAAAATCTTCATCTGTTTGATAATCGTCGTTTTACCCGATTCCCCGGTTCCAAGTAAAAGCAATTTAATTTTCGTCGAATACGCTTTAAAATCCTTTTTGAGTTGCTCATCAATCTTTTTCGAATGGGATTCTGCTTCCACATCATCCGGATGTTTCGGATTTAAACACATGAACATATTTATTGACGAATATTCAACGAATATTCACTTGTATTTTAACTTTTTAATTTGACTAGATTGAAAATCACTCAGGGAACACGGCGGCGAGGTTTCACTATTTTTTAAGCGGATATCCTTTCATTTTTGCTTCAACATTTTTATCGAATGTTTTATTTGGCACTAATATCGTTCACACATACACATACCACATTGCTTTCTGGAACTTGTAGCAATCCGTCGTAATCTTATCGTGATGTCGATATGCGGAGACACACACATAAATAAATTACTTACTTAGAGGATGTTATCTATCAAGTGCTTTCAATCTATTGCTTATTACTTACTCTATATGTATTTTAAGTTGGGAAGATAGTAAATTTTACAACTCTATTTCTATACATTATTAAAAAGATTTATTAATAAATTGTTATAAAATATTATTATAATGATTGATCCAACTATTATTAACTTAATCTAACATAATTTACGACTTTATTTTATTGACTTATTTTTTCTCTAATAACATCATCCTTCCAAATGTAAACCAGAACATAATATAAAATAATACGAGTTATATAATTCGAAGCCTTCTTCATGATTTTGTCACCCCATACGTATAACAATTGAGTAGCCTAACACCACCGACCACAGAACATCCACCCCTCTAAAAGAGGATTGAATACATCGCAGTATACCCTTTACTGGTCTTAAGCCCGCATTAAACCGGAGGGATTTGAGATTGGCCAGCCATCTACCTTTTGGAAAACAAAGACGAAGGCTCATAGGACGCAACGACAAACCTCAGAACTGAACGGATACACGATGACGAACTACGTGAGAAACAAGACAAAAGCAAGGATTATGAGGCGTGAAAAAAAACAGGATCAAATGAAACTTGAGTGCTTAAATGCAAGATCGCTTAACAACAAAGGACAAGAAATATTATTGGAACTACAGTTACACAGAATAGATTTATGTGTCATCACCGGAACAAAGAAAGGAACAACTTAATAATCCAACTACACACTGATCTTTCCAGGGAGAAATAAACGGGCAGCATCTGGTACAAGAATGTTCATATCAAACAAGGTGGCACATTTAATAACCAATATTACATATTCCAACGATAAGCATACGCTAACAACAAATATACATCATATCCACCTCATAACACATGAGATTGTTAAAGGAATACATAACCGAACCTTTCTGGCAGACTTGCTTAATGAAATGGACTTAATTTTCTTCATATTTTAACTCAGTGTTTGTTTGATATTGTTCACGTGGTTTTGACAGTATTCTTTTCCCGATCGTGGTGTGGCCAAAAAGTCGGGCGAAATTCGGGCGGCGTGCAGTGCGACTTTTGCAGCTCGTGGTTTCATAACAGACATCCCCAAGGGGTCCTGCCACGCTTAGCGCACTTGGCGCGTCGTGGAAATGTAAGGCCTGTCGATGACCTGAATCCAGACGCAGATCATCTCTTTTCTGTCCTGCTGCTCCTCCTGTATCTTCTTTACCTGCCGCTACTCTGGAATCTGTTCTGGATGCGGTCGGGAAAATTCGCTCTGATCTGAAGTCACTGAACATTAGATATGCGGAATCTGTACAGTTTTGCAGCAATAAAGTATCGGAGTTCGAGGGTGTTATAGGCAAGCTTCATAATCAATTCAAGCTTGTTGAAAAAATCACTGCTGAAAACGTCACAGAAAAAGAGAGATCGTTAATTTAACTAGTCGTGTCTCAGAATTGGAACAATATTCCAGGCGCAGCAACCTCGAAATACAAGGAATTCCTCAGAAGAACAACGAGGATCTGGTGAAGGTTCTCTCTTCAATTGGTGAATCCTTGGATGTCTTCATCTCACCTTCCGACGTCGATGCGATCCATCGGGTTCCTCAAGGTCCCGGCAGAGCTTCCAATTCGGACCCGAAAGCAATTGTGGTTCGTGTTTGTAGTCGCATCGTTCGCGATCAGCTTCTTGCTGCTGCCAAGTTGCGGAGACGATCGACTCCGAAGGATTCTGGCCCTGGTTTGTCCATTGATGGGATTTTGTCTTACCCTAGCGAAAAAAATCCTCTTTGGGAGAGCCAAGAAGATGGCCAGGGAGAAGAAGTACAAGTATGTGGTTTACTCTGATATAATAACCAAAACTAAGGCTAGACGTAGGTATTTGCTGCTAGTATATAAAAGACATAATCTTCACTTTTATCATAATAAATTTAAGGAACATATATATGAGTATATACCATATACATAACAAATTTTGAGCAAAGTATACAGGAAAACGGCTCTAGCTTCTGGTCATTCATTAAAAGTCGAAAGAATAGTAAGAAGGAAGAAAAATAATCGCAGGAAACGCGACCAATTTTTCAAGGATTTAATAAAACAGCCTCCTTTTTTCTATACCAAGCTTTCGGAATCTTTTTTATTCCTTCATCAGGGTTACTGAACAAATGAAAACAAAGCAATGAAACAACAATTCTAATCAGTCTAAAAATAAACTAATCTACTTACAAATGGAAAGCGATTTAATCAGCTCAAGTAACACCGGCATTCATTCGCGTCAAAAAAAACTTTCTCGAGAAGTGTCGAAGACATGGTATTTCACCATCACACATTCTGAATGGTTTGAAGAACGTTCAACTACTTATGAATGAATCAAGGGGCCCCCTCACTAGAAGGATGGATAATTTCCAGTTAAGGTTGGGAACGAGAATTTTTAATTTTGAAATTAAAAATACTCATTTCGATATTAAAAAGATTGGGAATACCATAAAAGAGTTGAGTCGTGAATTAACTGATGTTTTGCCTGTACACATCTTGACAGAATTTGAACTTAGACTTACATTTTCTTACAATAAAGTTTTTCGTAGTGTTAAGTAAACTAATATCTAAAAATTTAATAAACTTCAGAATCAATGTAAATTTGAAAAAGTAGAGTGATGTGGAGGTTCCTGTTATAGTTAAAGACTTTTTATCTTTGGGTCCGAAGTTTGGGATTACTCCAGACTCGACTTCTGTCTCGGTTCCTAGATTGATAGCTGATATTGAGAATGTAATAAGAATCGCACCACGTAATGAACATAATGTAAAAAGAGCTAGATGTACTAACATTCTAACTAATTTCTTAAGGAAAAAAGATCATAATAATGTAGTTAAGGCATTAATTAGGAGAGCTTATTGTGTTACAAAAACCTTTTTGAAAACTGAAAGAGAAGACCCTTTGTTAATTCTAAAAGCTGATAAGGGCCAGGTAACTGTGGCAATGAATCGGTCAGAATATGTGCATAAATCGTTAAGTTTGTTGAGTGATCAATCAACTTATGTGNAAATTAATCTACTTACAAATGGAAAGCGATTTAATCAGCTCAAGCAACACCGGCATTCATTCGCGTCAAAAAGCGTCAAAAAACAAACTTTATTGTTAACAATGAACCAAGTTCACTTCAAAGTAACCAAACACGTTAAAATCTTTTACAACCAAAATGGCTGTGACTTAAAGAATCCGAACGTTACAACTAAAACGTTGAAAAATAAAAACCGTAAAAACTTGACTTGAACATTTACACCAGTCACCCGGCAGAAGCGCTGCGTAACAAATTTCAAAATTGAATTAAATGAGATACAAAACACAAAAGTTAAAAAATATTATATAAGAAAGTTAAAGTATAAAAATTTTTAAATCTACGTTAAATTTATAAACAATAATATGTAATTAGAAAAAAAGAGATGCCTCATTAACATTGGACTGCCAATTATTGGATAAAAGGTAACTATAAATTGAACTTAAATAATCGATATCAGTTCTAAAGTTAACTGGTTTTATTTCTTTGTTAATATAGACCATCTCTAAAAATAACCTTTTTTGGTATACTTGTTCCCTTTCTATGATAGTTGTATTATTAAAATCAAAATGGTGACCTTCATTAACATGATGGGCAACTAAAGCACTTTTTTTCTCATTTCTAGCTACGCAATCTCTTTTATGCTGGTTAATTCTATTCGATAGATACTGTGTCGTGGTACCAATATATGCACCATTACAATTATTACAAGGTATTCTGTAAATTACGCGAGACTGGGCTAGAAGGGGAACATGATCCTTGGTTTTAGAGAACAAAGAAGAAAGAGGTCTAACATTAAATTTTGCAAATTTTATAGAGTCAGTTTTCAGAACAGACATCAAGTGAGGTGTTAAGTTGGGAACGAAGGGGATTTTCATGTATGTAAAACTTGGAACAACTGAGAGGTTCCCTTGAGGACTGTTAGAACTGTCAGTATTCCTGAGATTAACAAAGGGTGAATGAAAATTATTGTTATGATTGAGTATACCAAGCAAGAGAGGAGCATAGAGCATAGAAGTGAGGTTGTTGAGTGTGGGTCGTTTCCTTGGTGCTCTTCAATAAAGTGATTTTTGACCGGTCTTTTCTCGAGCTACAAGCTTGAAACTTGTACCATAGTACGTAAAATTTACTTCTTTATTTATTTTGCAACTTTTATTTGATTAATTTTGCGTGATTTGCGCCTGCTATATTTGTTTGTTTCTCGATTTTTGCGTTATACGTATAATTTTCCACTTGCTTTTTTTTTTNCCAATTATTGGATAAAAGGTAACTATAAATTGAACTTAAATAATCGATATCAGTTCTAAAGTTAACTGGTTTTATTTCTTTGTTAATATAGACCATCTCTAAAAATAACCTTTTTTGGTATACTTGTTCCCTTTCTATGATAGTTGTATTATTAAAATCAAAATGGTGACCTTCATTAACATGATGGGCAACTAAAGCACTTTTTTTCTCATTTCTAGCTACGCAATCTCTTTTATGCTGGTTAATTCTATTCGATAGATACTGTGTAGTGGTACCAATATATGCACCATTACAATTATTACAAGGTATTCTGTAAATTACGTGAGACTGGGCTAGAAGGGGAACATGATCCTTGGTTTTAGAGAACAAACAAGAAAGAGGTCTAACATTAAATTTTGCAAATTTTATAGAGTCAGTCTTCAGAACAGACATCAACTGAGGTGTTAAGTTGGGAACGAAGGGGATTATCATGTATGTAAAACTTGGAACAACTGAGAGGTTCCCTTGAGGACTGTTAGGACTGTCAGTATTCCTGAGATTAACAAAAGATGAATGAAAATTATTGTTATGATTGAGTATACCAAGCAAGAGACTACGGGGATAACCGTTGTTTAAGAAAATATTTTGAAGTTTTTTTAAGTTATCTTTAAGGAACCGTTCATTAGAAA